TACTGTTTACTTAGTGACCCACTGTAAGGAATGAACATTTACTCCAGTATTCTCTAAACACAGAATGAGAAACACTGCAATAAATTTACTGGTTGTGGCTGGGGGGATGTCCAATTTTAATATCATCCTGTAACAGGGTAGCCTGTTCCTCTACGGCTGAGAGGGCCAAGGGGCCAGCCTTCCCTGTTCAGTTATCAGTCCCAGCTTGGAAGGGATCAGGTGAATACTACAGACTGCTGAGTGAGCCAAGCTGAGAGGAGCAGTGGAACGGCTGCTGTAGTACAGGCAGAGCCATCCCTTGTATAGGGCGAATCGGGGTGACTGCCCTGGGCCCCACACTTTGATAAAATTGGGACTGTCCTGATATTTAGCCCTTTGTTCCACGTTCTGACCGATGTATGATCGGGACGCCATTTGTCCTGATATTCAGGTGAGGTGGGTGGGCAAGCAGGGTGAGGAGGCAGGCAGGTGGGTGGATGGTGAGGAGGAGGGGCGGACGTTGGGGGAGGAAGGGTGCGGGATGGACGGCGAGGAGACTATCAGGGAGGCTGATTTGTCCTGGACCTCGCATCCCCCTAGGGACGTCCCTGAGTACAGGGGAAATGAATTGAAAATGGTCATCCCACCTGAGGGGGAAGATACTCTTTGGGGTGGGGGCTGAGTAAAACTTAATAGCTACACTGCTATTGAAAAGGTGTAGGGTTGTGGGGGGTGGAGCTCTGAGTGCCCCATGACATGGTGAGCCTATCTGGATCGTTATTCAGTGGTCTGACAATCTGTCTCTGGCATTTTGTTTTAGAATGGTCACTCCTTTCCCATAAGATTGGGCCAAGCTTTAGCTTGGCCGGGTTTGTAGGGAAGGTAGGAGAGTTGGAGAGTGAGCCCGCCCAAAGCTGCACTCACCCCAGGCAGTGATAGCTCCTGTCTTGTGGCGCAGAGGCTGGGGATTGCAGAGTGAGCTAAGCCCACCTGGCCTTGCACTATCCCCAGGCAATGGTGGCTCAATTGTGTCCCAAGGTCTTGGCAGGGGCCTGGCTACCCACTCTGGTCTGTTGGCCTTTGCTGCTAGAAGCACTCTGCCACAGCGTCACATGGGGCTCATTGGGGATTCTCTTTGACTTGGGCATGTGTGTGTCGAGTGGGCCAGGGGAGAGGGCAGTTGGTGAACTGGACTGATAGATTTGGGGTGACTGAGCCTTGGGGGCTACTGCAATCCTCATGCTTAAACAGTATTCATAATAGAGTGACCTGGAGTGAGCAGATTGCAGATGCTCTTTCAGTCTGTGTGCTAGGAGCAGGATTTGGCCCCATGAAGCAGTAGAATAAATCCATCATTGAACTGTATGCTTTTCCCCTCCTATTTTGCTTTGTTTCAGTAACACAGTGCACAGTGGAAAATTCCCTCTTCTGCAGTATTATAGTGAGTCTCCTGATTATTTTTTGGTCATAAGGAGTGCCTAGAAATATAGACTTTTGACATGAGAAGGATCCTCAGGGTGATTTCTGTAAGACTGTCTCTGACTGTGATGTGTTTTGTAAAGTCATGTTTGAGAGACTGTGGGTGCAGGGCATATTTTATGTAAAGGGACGTTGTCGGGTCCATTTAGGCCTAAAATTCAGCAGCACTGAAAGAAATCTTTTTTGCAAAGATTGGTAACCCCCCCCCCCAAAATCTAAACTACAAATAAAGGATAATTTTTTTAATGACACTGGCAATTTTTATCTTGGAAGGAATAGCATTCCCTGCAGGACTCGCACTCTAGATATCACAATATTTACCCAATGTATGAAAAGAGCACTGGAAAAGTGATTAGAAGCTGAGTAAAAAGAGACATTAACTAGTCTATCTCATTTTTAACCTGACAGTGCCTCTTCCATCCATTCTGGGACCCAGCACAAGTAGTAGGCTATACTCTGGGCATCTACATAGGAGAAGGGGTCATTTTCCCCAGCTCCAGTGCTTTGGAGCCACTCTGTGGAGGCTACTTTAACATAGTACCCCAATTGGCTCCCCAAAAGCCTACATTATAGAGGGGAGGACAAAAAAACCTGTGAAGTAATGAATTCTTTGCCATCATCTTCGCCCTTCTTCACTTGTTCATTTGTGCTCTGCTATGCAGGGAAGCCCCGGAGAGCTGGACTCCATGATGTATGTGCAGAGCCAGCACTAGGCATAAGCAGAGTAAACAGTTGCTTAGGGCCCCATGCAGCTAAAGTGGTTCCCCCATACACAGACACAACACATACTAAAAAAGTGAATGTGGGGAGAAATATTCCTGTTTAGCACCCCCAATGGGTTAGCACTGCCTCTGAGTATGTGCATCTCCACTTTACACAGCAGAGCCACACTTTTCCTGGTGCAAAGGGACCTCCCTATCTGTGAAGCAGGATACTGAACTAACAAAAAACATGAAATAATTCTGATGGTTAAATCTAGTGATGTGAAGTATTGAATAATCCCTTCCTTCAATCGTTATTGTCATTTCTTGAATGGTATATTATTTTGACATACACGGTGACTGTCTTTTGAATCTTTTAGATGTAATCTGTAATATTGCTAAATATTACATGGTAAATGTATTAATTTTATATGAAAAAGATTCTCTGTGTCCATGATCTCCTATACAACCTTTTGGCTACATTGGTAAGATTATAAGGGCTAGACTGTGACATCCTTATTCACATTGAATAGTGCCTTATGCCATAAATAGTTATATTGAAGTCAATGGGAATATTTCTAGAGTAGTGTAAGGGGATGACAATCTGATCTAACAGGTCTGATAACAAAATATGTCTGCTATAATAATATTTTAAAGGCTGAATTTTTCACGTGTGTTCTTCATTTGTGTCCTGACCTGCTGTGTGCACAAAATCTGCACACAAAATGGGTAATTGCACAACTAAAATACTACATATGCACCTGTAAATACCC